GGCTACAAGCCTTCCAAGATGCCATATCGGACTGCTCACTGGAGGACATTGGCTACCATGGCGACAAGTTTACCTTTTTAGAGGAGGATTGAGTGAAAGGCTAGACCGTCCTGTCTCGAATTTGTGATGGATGGATATGCACCCGTTATGTGGCCTGATAAATCTGGACATGGGCAAGTCGGACCACCTTCCAATATGTTTAGATATAGAGAACCTTGTGGGAGTCGCAGCACAGCGACGTCATCAGGGAGAAAAATTCGAAGCAAGGTGGTTAGAGGAGGAAGCTATGGAAGAAGTGGTGAGAACAGAGTGGCAGAAGGCTATTGTGAGTGGGCTCTGTCCCTCGGCCAGCGACAAGTTAGCAGCAGTGCATAAGGATCTCCATCAATGGGATCGAAAAGTCTTGAAGGGCCTTCGATCCCGACTAAAAGCAGCCCAGAAGGAACCAGAAACACTAATGCGAGTGCATTTTCATGCTGGTGCAAGAGCAAAACAACAAGAGTTGACGCTGAAGATTTAAAACCTCGTCGAGCAGGAGGAAATCTACTGGGATCAGAGAGGACATGCAAACTGGCTACGCCGGGGCGACCGTAATACCAAGTTTTATCATCAGAACGTTTTGGCTCATAGGCGACACAATTTAATTGAGAGATTGAAAGATAATCATAATGCATGGGTTGAGAGGAATGATGACCTCAAGCCCTTGATTTTTGATTATTTCCAGAGTCTTCTCAATTTGGACGCAGGGTTGATTGATGAAGCTTTGCTAGATACAGTCAAACCTCTGGTTCCGGGGCCAATGAATGACCTTCTAAATGTTCCGTATGCGCGGGAAGAAGTAAAGAAAGCCCTATTTCAAATAGGTGATGCGAAGGCCCCCGGCCCTGACAGTCTTCATGCTATATTTTTTGAACATTTTTGGCATAACATTGGAGAGGAGCTTAGAAACAAAGTGCTTGAAGCGATAAACAACAGAAAGATCCCAGATGGGTGAAATGACACTGATGTGGTGTTAATACCGAAGGTGGACAGTCCAGAGGTTATTACACAGTTTAGGCCCATCGGTCTATGTAATGTGGTCTACAAGATAATTTCAAAGATGCTGGCTAATAGACTAAAAAAATCCTACATGAGGTGATTTCCCCTACACAAAGTGCTTTTGTACCAGGTTAGGTTAATTACTGATAATGTGTTGGTCGCTTATGAATGCTTTCATTCCATATGGTATTTGTGCGGTTAAGCTGGACATGTTGAAAGCATATGACATAGTACAATGAGAATTCATGAGGTAGATGATGATGAGGGTGGGGTTTCATGCACAATGGATTGAGCTTATCATGGAGTGCGTCTCCTCTGTCAAATATCAGATCGGATTTAATGATACAGAGATATACAAATTTACACCAACTAGGGGCCTAAGATAGGGTGACCCCCTATCTCGTTATCTTTTTTGATTGTTCTGAAGGATATCAATCATGTTGACTCACGAAGAAGAAATTGGTGGTATTGTAAGAATAAAGGTGTCAAGGAATGCCCCCTCGATATCTCACCTTTTGTTTGCAGATGACTCTTTGATCCCCATGAGAGCTACGGTACAGAACGCAAGTACGTTGAAGAGGGTCCTAGATACATATTGTGAGAGTTCAGGGCAGCGTGTAAGTACACCCAAATTCAGTATCTTGTTTAGTCCTAATACCAGAGTAAATGAAAGGGAGAATGTATGTGGAATGTTGAATATACTAACAGAAGCTTTGTCTGACAAGTACTTGGGGCTACCAACTATTGTCGGGGTTGATCGTAGTGAATTTTTTTCAATATCTTGTTGATAGAGTATGTCAGAGACTGAAGGGGTGGAAGGAAAATTTTCTATCAGTTCAAGGTAAAGAAATCCTTTTAAATGAAGTAGCTCAGGCAATTCCATCATATGCTATGTTTGTTTTTAAGTTACCAAAAGGGATATGCAAATCAACCACTGATGAAATATCAAGCTTCTGGTGGGGTGATGGAGAGGAGACAAGGAAAATGCATTGGTTTGCATGGTGGAAGATGTGTGTACTGAATAAGAAGGGAGGTACGGGATTTAGAGACCTTCATAGCTTTAACCTTGCTATGTTAGCAAAGCAGTGTTTGCGACTGATCCAGAATCCCGACTCTTTGTGTGCATGTGCTCTAAGTGCAAAATACTATCCTGGTGGTAATGTTCTGAGAGCTGGCCCAAATAAAGGGTCCTCGTTTACATGGCAAAGTTTGGTTGCTGCGATACAAACTTTCAAGAGGGGATGTATTTGGCGACTGGGCACTGGTTCAAATATTAACATTTGGGACGACCCATGGATCCCATCAAGTCCAACAAGGAAGATTATCACCCCTAGAGGTGGAATCATGTTGTCAAAGGTGCAAGAGATAATTAACCCTCATACGTGTTAGTGGGATGAAGCACTAATTCAGAGCATGTTCTCGCCAGTTAATGTACGCGGAATATTACAAATTCCACTACATGTTGAAGCACTAGAATATTTTGTGGCATGGCATTATACAAAGTCTGGAACCTTCTCAGTACGCTCGGCTTTTCACTTAGAATTTGACCATTAGTTCGGTCGCCACTATGCAAATTCGAATAGTCCAGGGAGTGCTCAACTTAGCGGGGTTTGGAAGGAGATATGGTATCTTCGGTTACCGGGAAAGATCAAGCATTTTGGTTGGAAAGTACTTAAGGGAGTACTACCATGCTATGGTGTACTCGCGGGCAGACACATACGCTTGATCCCGCAATGCCCGATATGCAAAATTGGTTTGGAGGACATTCAACATTGTTTGTTCACATGTGATAGAGCAACACAAGTGTGGTCATCACTAGGGTTAACCGAGGAGATATGCGGAGTAGTTGTGCAGGACCGGTCCGGGTCTATCACTCTGGACATTTGGTATTCCCACTACCGAGCTCATCCTGGTGGCCATGTAGTTTATATGGTGGCAAAGGAGGCAGGTTGCGAAGGGAGAGACTGTTCCAACTCCAGAGCAATCGACCATCTCAATTCAGGTACTTGCTACCAATTTTGTTCGTGCAAATACACCAAACCAGCCCATCCGCAAGAATGATCAAGTGTGGAAGAAGCCAAACAGGGGAGTTATAAAAGTGAACGTTGATGCATCATTCATGAGGAGAACCTTAGTGGAGCTTGTGGAGTTGTTGCCCGTGACGACCAGGGCAAATTTTTGGGAGCGGCAACACTAGCATTACCTCATGTCTCAAGCGCAGGACCAGCTGAGCTAATGGCCATCCGTTCTGGACTATACCTGGCAACGAATCTGGGATGCACAAATCTCATCATTGAGTCGGATTGTATGGACGCTTTGAAATCTATATCTGACCCGGATGCGTACATGGGAGTGGACGTTCCTTTGGTGGCAGAGTGCTCCCTCTTGGCAATGAAGTTTGCGAGCATTAGCTATGAGTTTTGTAGCAGAGAGACAAATATGCTAGCGGATGGATTAGCAAAGCATTGTTTTAGCAATAGTACTTCTGAAGTTTGAGAGACTTTCGTCCCTGACTTTATTCTTCACAACTATGTAAATGACCTTGCTATTACATGAGGAATAAAGTTACTACGATAAAAAAAATGACGCAGAAGATGAGGAAATAATAATAAACAAAATTTAAGGAGAAAGAGCATACCACTATGCATAGCGAAGTTTCCATAGCTGGAGAGGAAAATCATCAAGGCAAGAGGATCAATAAAGCTACTGTGCGTGGGTAGTCGGTAGCCCATGAAAACTCGGACTGTTGATCCCTTGCCCATGACCTAAATAAACACGGAGGGAAGTGCCCTCGATCGATAAAGACGTGAGAGATGCAAGAAGACTGAGCACTGGACACACCGCCGCCGCCGATGGATGATGGATCCACCGGATCTTTTGCTAGCTTCTCAAGAGCTTGACCCACACGCACGTCTTTCTCATGTGACATGCATGCATGTCTCCATACTTAGCCGCCAAAACTGAACATGTCAAACATGCATGCATACTGCTCCGTGTTGAGCTGGGCTTGACATGGACGTGACGCTCATCCCTCGGGAAAATTGGCTCCACACGGCTGGATAGGCCGATCGCCCAAGATCTCGAAAATCTTCTCGGAACAGTGACCCGCAAGCGCGCGCGATCGTATCGTTTCAGCTTACACGCCGACGATCGGTCATGATCATGACCGCCGTGCTACGGTAAGTGAACCTTGCTTTGGCCTCTGAGTACGCGCATACAATGAATGATCTCTGGGTAAGTGAGACGATGATGATCGTATGTTTCCCAGGTGGCGGGAAGACGACGGCGACGATTATCACGACGGTGATGATGCGTGTGTAACGTTGCTAGTTAGGTCGTACTTACTCCATCCGTTCCGATTTACTCGTCGAAATTGAACGGAAGTATATATAAGAGGTGAGAGCCATTACCTGTCGCTGTCTGTTGATCCAGTCTCCCGGGGAATGGTATTGATGTATATCCATCCAGTTCAGTCAAATCAACAGCACAATATGCTGCTGCTACTGTAGTAGTGTACTTCTGGAGCTCTGAACCCACCCAACTTGGCTTGATAAAAAGCCCACCCTGCTGCCCAGTTGCAACTCGCCGCTCCATCCATCCTGCTGCACGTCTACCGCTCAGCTTAATTAGAGGAGGAGAAAGAGAGTTGCAGGTGTGTGCTGATCAGAACAGATCAGATCGGCAGGAGGCTCATAGTATCTCACCAACTGCAGCAACATTCAGAAGCAGCTAGCTCATCAGGTACATGTTACTTCTGTGTCCTACCAGAGTGTACCAAACTATACCTGTTTAGCTACACATATGAAGCATCTGCCTTTTCTGGTCCTTTTCGAAAAAAAGAATCTGCCTTTTCTGGTCTTTCTAATTCTTGGTTTGCTGCTCACATGTCAAATGGGATATGCTATTTTATCATCATATTCTCTTTGCAGCGAGTGAGCGAGTGTGTCTCGTACTGAGGAACAATGAACCAGTTCGTTCCTGCAGATTGGACCGGCAACATGGGAGACGCCCTGCCGCCATTAAGGTCCGTCCTCCTAACCGCCGGATTCATCTTCTCTTTTCTTGGATCGGCCGATGGAATCAATGACTGATTCTTCCATGTGGCGTGTTGCTGCAGCAGCGAAGACGACGGCCTCGTCGAGCTGCTGTGGTGCAGCGGCCACGTCGTCATGCAGAGCCAGGCGCCTCCAAGGCAGGCGGTGCCCGAGCAGGAGGCGGCGCCGTGGTTCCAGTACCCCTTCGTCGATGAAGACGACTGCTCGGTCGAGAGGGACCTCTTCTCGGAGATCTTCGGCAGAATGCCGGCGGATGGCGCAGGCAGGCCGTGCAAGGAGGATGATAAGCAGCGAAGCGCCGCGGACGCGGTCACCGCGCTCCGAAGCGGGGTGATGCCGCCGCCGCTGCTGGCGGGTAAAGCAGGGTTGCACGGCGGCGGCCCGCGCGGCTCGCCTGTCTCAGAGGCCGGCGAGTCCTCGGTGGTCACGATGGCATTCAGGAGGCCCTGCGGCGGGAGCAACCAGGCCCAGACGCCCCACGTCTCGGATACCGCCCGCGACGACACCGTGCTGCTGCCGCGGAGCGGCAGGGAGGCCAGGGACGCTAGGTCCTACCTCAGCGTGTCGGCGACGTTGACCTCGTCGTCGACGTGGTCGAGGCCTTCTGGCACCAGCAAGCGGAAGCTGAGCGAGGTCCCCAGTGAGGTTATGCAGGACGTGGAGTCGGACTCCGCCGACGTGACGTGCGAGACGGCGCGGAAGCCGACGACAGCCAAACGGCGGCGCGCCGCCCAAGTGCACAACCTCTCGGAGAGGGTACCTGACTAATACCTTCGTCTTACTTCGAGTTTCCTGGACACTTGGGCCTCTTGGCCGCCATTGCTGACTGTGTTCTGCGTGATGGATGCAGAGGAGAAGGGACAGGATCAACGAGAAGATGAGGGCCCTGCAAGAACTCGTACCCCACTGCAACAAAGTATGTAATTCCAATCCCTCCGCAGCTTCGCTACTCGCTAGTCGTTACGAATACGATCTTAAATATAATTCTTGGCAATGGCGATCGGTCTGATCATCTCGTTCTTGGCATGAAATTCTTCCACCAGACGGACAAGGCGTCGATGCTGGACGAGGCGATCGAGTACCTCAAATCGCTGCAGCTGCAGCTGCAGCTGATGTGGGCTATGGGCGGCCGCATGGCGCTGGCGCCGGCGCCGGTGATGTTCCCGGCGGGCGCCCACCAGTACATGCAGCGGATGGCCGCCATTAGTTCCCGGATGCCGCCATTCACGACTGGCGTATAGAGTTCAAATGACCCAGAATTGAGTTGAGAGACTTTCTCGTGATCGCTTTACTTTGTTCAGATAAGTTTGGTGTACTGTATTTTATTTGAAAAAAATCGTATTTAGGAGCTTGACAAGTCAACCTACTCCTTTTATTTTGAAAAATGTAAGGCGTGCTTTGACTATTTAAACTCATGTTTTAAGCAACATGTGAATCATGTTATTATAACAAGAATCACTATCATCAGATTCACATTTGAAAGTAATTCTTGTGGTTATCACTGTAACTATTAATAAAAATATTGTGGATGGAATTTATGGTCAAAGCCCAAGTGGGCAACAAACATATGCCCTGCTTTTCCAAATTGATGGTATTATTTTCCTTTTATCGACGACATTATGCATATTTACACACTAATTTATAAAAGGGGTCCGTCTAAAACTCATCTCGGTGAGACTTTTTTTTTTTGCAACAATGATCAGATCTAGATGAGACTTTGACATGTCACAGCTAAGTGATGTCATCTCTCTTGTGTGGTCTCATTTTCCATCTTATCAATTTTTACCTTATTTTTTGTTTCCTATACGTTTGTTTTTATTTGTTGTAGGTGTGTTGTTTTTGTCCCATGGATTGATGTAATCTTTTGTCTGTTCCATTGGGTTGTTGCGTTTTTATTACTAGTTGATGCCCCGCGCGTTGTTGCGGGATACTATAGTTCATTTGACGTGTGGAGTTTGGCCGAGTGTTGATTCACATTACGTGACTCATGGAAAAGGATGAAGCCCCAAGTAACATATTGTTTACTTCAATGCAAGATTATCAAAAAAAAAATCTAACAAATTTCAATAGGGCATTCCATCATAAGATAGCTGCAGGCCTTCAGGTCAGGGGCACAATTTTTTATGATGGGAGATTATAATACTATTAACTTGTCCTGTACACTATGATTTCTCATATGCATTAGCGTTAACCCCCATCATTCAAGAAAACTGTGCAAAAACTACCCAATTGGACAATGCAAACGAACTGCCATATCCCTTGAAATGGGTAGAAGAAAAACACTGTAGCTTTGCAAAACTCAATGAAAATAAATGAACAAAATCTGAAAGATGCAAAATACATGCAAGAAAAATTGCATGTAGTTCTTTATCATATAAAGTAAGATCTGAAAGGAAGTGAAGCCTCTACTTCAAATGTTAACAAATGACTATAAATAATTCATCAAGGGGCATTCAAAGGCATATTTTTAGTAGTTAACTGAGGGAAAGATATAGCATGTCAAATAACTAATAAAATGCAATGGTTGTCAATCCAGGAAGTAATAATCTGAATCACTTTAACCACATACCACAAAATTTTCATAAGGCAAACTAAGAAAATGACACGGTATAATCATGTGTTAGGTTCAAACAAAAATGTGGAAACTATACTTGCATCATAGTTTAAATATTCTGTAACACTTTTCTTCATCATTGTCCAGTTTTCAGCAGTCCCAGTAGTGTTGACTGGATCATGACCTGAAAATTACCTTCAAACATGACCTTAAATATTTTGGAACATACTCGGTATAATCAAGTGATAGGTTCAAACAAAAATGTGGATACTATACTTGCTTCATAGTTTAAATATTCTGTGACACTTATGGTCTTCATGACATTAGCTTCAAACAAATAATTACTTCATGGGGAAAATGTGCCTAGTTTAAATATTCTACAAAAATGTGTCTAGTTTTCAACAGTTCCCAGTAGTGTTGAATGGACCATGACCAGAAATTAGCTTCAAACAAATAATTACTTCATGGAGAAAAAGTACAGGCATGAGAAGAAAAATCAGTATACAAATGATACCATGCATTTCGGTACAGGTCGCATTAGGCAGGCTTCTGAAAGGCGTGCATTTGCAGATTTTGCATGATTTAACTACTGGTTACGAAATAAAATAAAATATCCTTACAAAAATAATTCTGAACAATCAAAGGAGTGGACTGAACGATTAGTCGAATATTCAATAAGAAATCATAACATTTTCAGTCCTATTTTTAGGGAAAAGTGAAAACAAACCTATTCGTGGCTGAAGTACTATTGAGAAATGGCACAATATCTTTATGTATGAACAAGGACAACTCTACATTATCAGTATCCTTCCACCACTTCTCCCAATAAGGCGTACAGGATGTTTTGACAGATATACCCAACTGTTGCATCAAACCAAACCCAGAACACATGCAAACAGTCTGAAATGAGAAATAATAACAGAATATCTTCAGAACTCCTAATTTAAGATCTCTGGTGTACAACGTTACTTTAACCCTTCCTTCAACCATGGGTTTCTTGCTGGAGTAGCATTAATTTGGACAGGGATCCGGTGACATGCCCACAGGCAGTCACGCCGTAACATGCGGGCCGGCAGCCGTTGGATGCAGGGGGGCGTCCCAGATTAAATACTGTAGTGGAGAAACACTGTGGATGCTACTGGTGCAGAGAACACTGTAGACATGGTAATGTAGACAAAACACCGTAGATCCGACACTGTTTATTCGAGATTTGTCTGTTGATTCTCGATCGGGCGGTCCAGAGAGGGACGCATGTTACCATCACTGTTCATTGGTACACACCTCTTGCTCAGGTACCAAACACAACTAAATATGTTACAAACTTACAAACGATATTGCGCATGATTACCTTACAATTCGAATCGATTAACTCAGCTTGGCTCGACAATTTGCAGCAGTTTTCAAATTGATTACCTCTTGAGGGCGGAAACCCTACATCAGCACCGGATCAGATCGAATCAGGCCTAGCCTAGGAATGGTATGAGGGAGGAGGGGACAAAGGCAACTTACGGGTAGAGCATCATGAGTCCTCGGGGATGAACTGCGGCTCGAGCTTGCCCTTAAGGATGTTGATGGTCTTGTTCATGCCCTCTGCGTGAAGTTCCTCCCATTCTTCAGATCGTTCGTCCTGCAATCTACCCTTGCCCCGCCATCTCCACAGTAGCTGTCGGTGCTATCCCAACGGCGGGCGCAAACCCTAGAGGAGTCTAGGTCTATCGCCGCGTGGGATTCGTGACGCTTGCGGCGCGCACGCGCGAGAGATAGAGAGAGAGAGAGATATGGGGAAGAATAGGAGACGCGGCGGCACATGAAGAGGCTTTGATTGGGAGAACGGTTCGCTTCTGCTTCAGCTTCCGTGGGTAAAATGAGTCAGTGGGAGGGGGGTTGTGTGCTGCAGATCTGAACCATCTATGATCAATCAAACGGCTGAAACAATTTGTGGTGACGTGGATGCATGAGAGGGCAGGAAAATCAGGTAGTGGGGTGCCCCTATTTAGATATAGAAGATTTTGTATTTGAGCATTTTCATTTTTGTTGAATTTCTTCTAGATGTTGGGCTTTGCTTTGTGTTGTGTTTTTTTGTCAAGTTCAGCCAAAAGAAAATGCACACTATACTTACACAAAATTGGATTAAAAAACACAGTAGAAATATAGACATAATAGATGGAAAAATATCACAAAACAAAATCATGCTAGGTCAAAAAATATGAAAAAAAAGAATTTAGAATATCATGTTAGCATGTTTTGTTGTCACGGTTGCAGTCATGTTGAGGGCGCGCAAGTTGCTGTCGAGGGTAATACTTGCAGTTGCATGTGTAGCGTCGGACATGCAACTATCCACCCGTCGATAAAATGGCAGTTCCGCAACCACCTTCCCCCACACCCAAACAACCACACTGGTAAGTGTTGATGGCGTGCAGTTGCAGTCGGGGCCAACACTTGTAGTTATGTGTCTAGTGAAGTAGTGATGGACATGCAACTACTAACCCTTGATAAAAGGCCACCTTCGCAACCTCTTGCACCCAAACAAGCCTAGTTATAGTCGCGTTGAAGGCATGGAATTGGAGTTGAGGATGACACTTGCAGTTGCGTGTCTAGTGGCGGACATGCAACTATCGACTCCTTGAAAAAATGCCACTTTCGCAACCCCCTCCCTCTGCACCCAAATAACCACACTTGAAATCATGTTGAGGGCATGCAGTTGTAGTCAGAACCAACACTTCCAGTTACATGTCTAGTGACGGACATGCAACTGCTACCCCCTCAGCCAAAATTCCACTTTCACACCCTCTTGCACTAAAATAGGCCTAGTTATAGTCGTGTTGAAGGTGTGCAGTTGCATTTGACGTCAACGGTTACAGTTGCGTGTCTACTTCTGCACGCTCCACACACAAACAACCCCAGCAACACTTGCGTTAAGGGTGTGCAATTGCAGTCGGGGCCAACACTTACAGTTGTGTCTGTAGTGGCAGACATGCAACTGTCCATCCCTTGATATTTAAAATGCCACTTTTCCAGCCCCCACACTAGAACAACACTAGTTGTAGTCGCGTTGGTCGTGAAGTTGTAGCCAGGGCCTACACTTGCAGTTGTGTGTCTAGTGAGGGCATGCAAATGCCCACCCCTCAACAAAATGCCACGTCTACAACCCCAGCACCAGAAAAACCAAATTGTTATCACTTTGAGAACGTGCAGTTTGCAGTCGTGGCCAACACTTGCAATTGTGTTTCTAGTGTCAGATATGCAACTATCCACCCTTCGATAAAATGTCACTTGTACAACCCCCGCACCCAAACAACCCCACTTGCATTCTACTTGAGGGTGTGCAATTCTAGTCAGGGCAAAAACTTCAAGTTGTGTGTCTAGTGTTGGACTTACAACTGCCCACCCCTCAACAAAATGCCAGTTGTGCAACCCCCGCACCCAAACAACTCAGTTATAGTTGCCTTGAGTAGTCGGGACCAACACTTGAAGTTGTGTGTATAATGACGGACACTCAACTAGGTCTGAGGTCTGGGCGAGTTGTGTGTCATGATGGACATGCAACTGGGTCAGGTAGGGACGAGTTGCATGTCGATAGTGGACATGCAACCGATTCGATCAAATTGTGTATCGAGGGTGAACATACAACCGGATAGAATGACGTTGTTGCGTGGGGGACGGATGAGCCACCAGTGGTAGCTCTTC